AGGCCGGAGGCGAGCTCTCGGTGCAGCTGGGACTCGGTGGTCCGGGCGCCGATGGCGCCGACGGAGATGAAGTCGGCGAGGAACTGGGGGGAGATGGTGTCCAGCATCTCGCTCGCGATGGGCATGCCGGCGTTGGTCAGGTCGCTGAACATCTGGCGGGACAGGCGGAGGCCCTTGTTGATCTTGAAGCTGTTGTCGATGTCGGGGTCGTTGATCAGGCCCTTCCAGCCGACGGTGGTACGGGGCTTCTCCAGGTAGGCGCGCATGACGATGCACAGGTCGTCGGACAGCTTCTCTGACAAGGCCTTGAGGCGCTGGGCGTACTCTTGGGCCGTGTCGGGGTCGTGGATGGAGCAGGGGCCGACGATGACCAGCAGCCGGTCGCTGCGGCCCATGATGATAGAGACGGCCTCACGACGGCCCTTGACGACGGTCTGGAGGGAGGCATCTGTCATGGGGATATCTGAGATGAGGAGAGCGGGTTGGATCAGAGGATCCTGGCCCAGGACTAATGTGGTGTTGCGTATTAGCATGACGAATGGTCAACATGAGAGTAGAGTGTCTGATCGAGCTTCACAGAACTGTTGGGTGCTAGGGCAGCAAGAGGGCGGCCTGTCTTGTTGATGTTTCCTTTTTGTATGACGTGCAATTTCATACACATGCTCGTTCCCGTGCCATCTGGCGAGAAGCTGCAGATAGGCGGCGAGAGAGAAAACAAATAGAAAACAAATTTCAAAAGAGAAAGGAGAAGGGGCAAACTCAACACAAAGCTGGCTACGCACCTCTCATATCATCGGCTCTGAGCGGCTGAATGTCGACTCCCGGCATTCTGATGATGCAAACAGCTCGATGCTGGTAAGAAAATTTGAGATCCCGAGGAACAAATTCTCCACGGCCTGACGACTGTACTAGGTAAGCTGATAAGAGTTAGAAATTCTAGGCTTTGTTGGTTTGCTATAATGCTACTGAAATAGATAACATGGACGTGAGCCTGGTTGAGAGAAAGAGTCAACGTACGAGATGCGAAGTCGGCGGGGCCAATTAGTAGTTGCCAAATGGAAACACAAGAGTTACACTAGGATGGGCAGGGGAAGGGGTATCTCGAGAGGTGCCAAGTGTAAAAGAGCTGAGGTGAGATGAGGTGAGCTACAGAATAAGTGAGGTAGGACAAACGATGTCGGGTGTGATAATATTTTTTGAGAGATGAGTCAGTCCAACAGCTAGGTAGCCTATTGAGCAGCAAAAAAAAGGGAGCAAAAATAAAGCTCTCGTACCAGTAGGTGTACATAGGAGGGCGCGACATGACATTCAATCTTTTGGAGGGGTAAGCTGTGCTTCAGGCGGGGTCCTTGCAGCTAGGTACCTGTACCTAGCGCAATACGGAACCGACTTGTACCACATCTGGCAAGCTCGGAATAGGACAGATACGTCTAACTAACACAACCTTTCTTAGGCCAATTCGTTTCTCAATCACTCTCGAACGATGCAGACCTTTGATATTGTGTGACAAGCTCGGCCGCATTTGATATCCATCAATTGTCTCTGTCCCAGAGGTCACTTCCGGTACTTTACTAAGCTCGCCTCAAAGTACGAAGCAGGTACCCACTTGAGGATTCAGCGAGTCGGCCCACCCCTGCAGAACTTGCCGTGCCGGCTCGTGGCCCCGTTATCTAACGCTTATCAAGTTTATCGATTAGATACCTAGGGACTAACACTTTAAGTAGGTACTTAGGTACAAGCTTTAACGACATGTGGTGGAACGCCCAACAGCGAATCGTAGAGCTTCAAATTGTCATTGATACACCATTCAACTAAGTAGGTAACTGTGATTGCCAAGCGGTCAATGGATCTGCTTGGCTTGATCTCGAACGACTTTATATTATATGCATGCATGCATCCTTCTGCTTGCTCTGCCTGCCGCTGCCGCTGCTGCTCCGTGCTGGCTGGCCCTCGGCCAATAGCGTCGTCCATCTACACCACGTCGTCGGACTGCGTCTTCTCGAAGGTGTGTTGATGGTCGCGCCTTCTATCGCTTCCTACCTCACCTAAGTGTACATGCTAGGTACCTACGATCCTGCATGTCAGATTAGCTGTCCTCTCACCCACCATCATCCTAAAATGACAAGGAGCAGGTGCCCAGAACGGCATAATAGGTAGCATCCGGGGGACCCAAGTGGCACCAACGATCGCCATTTCGATCCGAGAACCTACCTACCTTAGTGGCCTCTGTCAGGCACAGCCACATCCACATCCACATCGCTATCGGTCTGTGGCTGTCGGTGGCATCGAGGTAAGATTAGATTAGATGAATCCAACGTTGCTTAACTACAACTCCCGGGGTTAGCCTCGAATTCTTGGGGTAAACGACACTATGTGGGACTAAACCCCAGACCGACATCTAGCGTCAGGGGAAATGGGAGAAGAGTCTTGGCTCCAACGTGTCTCTTTCTTCTCTGTGACTTGGCGGCATGAGTCTTGAGTCTCGATGAGTCGACGGGAGCTTGTCCGGGCGTCTGTTCGTAGAAATTGGTTCATGGTTCCGTTCGCCTCGATTCCCAATTCTGGTTTCAGGGTCTTTTTGTCTAGGTTGTCTGGAAGTCCTCGAGAGAAGCAAAAGGAAGAAAAAGTTCGCCATTGACAATTTAATATTGAGACGATCCTATCGAGTTGGGGGCATTTAGGTAATCAAATCCCAATCCACCTCGCGAATCGATTTCCTCCCGGTTCACCGGCTCCCCAGTCAACTATTCGGCTGTACGGATCTACCCCCCCCTCGCGCCTCCACCTTTGACAGGGAACAGTCGTCATTTGAGTATTTACCCGTCGATCACGATGAATACCACGTAAACCCACCCTTCGTCCCTCTACAACATCAACTGCCATTTATAATTGCTGCAACCCTCTCACCTTAGGTCATTCTACCGACATTCTCCCGTTTCCCGTAATCTACTGATGAATGAAATATCAGTCGGGCGTCGATTTCAAAGTTGCTTCTCCCAAGCATATATATATACCTATATATTCGAAGCGAATGCTCGAATCTGCTGCAGATGGGCCATGTGGAGCACGTCACTTGGCGGCTAAATGTGGTTGAACCTCCTAGGTTGTAATAGGTTACAGCGGAGGATAAATGCCCACGCCATGATAGCTCGAGGATGTGAATAAATATGCCAGTTGATGCCCGAGGATTGCTTGCCTCGACCGTTCTTCGTGTCTCATACCGAGCAGCACATAGACCGTGCCCCTTTCACCGAGTCGAGTCGGAGATCCATCGGGAGATATGAGACTCAAGCTGATCTCCGCCGCAGCTTGCCTGCTATGGACGGCTTGCGTGGCTGGTGCTCCGCATAACAAACCCCACAGACAACCACACAAGCCCACGCAATGCCGACCCCATGAGGATTCTCACTGGGTTGCCACGTGGGCGTCGATGCCCCAGCTGGTTGAGCCGAGCAACCTGCCCCCGGCTCCGTTTGTGAGTACAGCAAACAAGCTCTTCGAGTTAACCAAGCTCCGTGTTATTCAGCTCCTGACCATTTCCCACAGACCCAAGGCGGCGTGTTCAAAGATGCTACGCTCCGGCAGACACTGCACGTGTCCGTCGGCGCCGAGAGGATCCGCCTCCTCATCTCCAACACCTTTGGCGGCAGCCCCTTACCCATCACGGCCGCATCCATAGCTCTGCCCGCGGGTGGTGCGGCCGGTGTGAGCGCGATCGACACGGCCACGCTGAAGGAGATCACATTCAATGGCGGCGCAAAGTCGGTGACCATACCCCAGGGACAGACCGTCTACACGGACCCCATCGACATCAAGGTCGCACAGCAGTCCATGATTACCGTCACCCTCTATTCCCAGGCCGGCCAGTCGGGAACCAGCATCACGGGCCACCCCGGCAGCCGGACAACCTCCTGGATGCAGCAGGGCAACCGCGTCAACGCTGCTAGCTTGACCGGGGCGAGCGTGGCCCATTGGTACTTTGTGAATGTAGTCGAGGCTTGGGCTCCAAAGTCGACAGCGGCCCTGGTCATCCTCGGCGATAGCATCACCGACGGCCGTGGCAGCACCGACAACATGAACAACAGGTCAGAGCTAACGCCCCGTCATGTCTCATGTCTCAAGATAATCTCGCAGACGCTAACCCACTCGACAGGTGGCCGGATCTCCTCCTCGCCAAGATGCAGAAGGAGAACATCACGAACCTAGCCGTCGTCAACCAAGCGGCGGGCGGCAACGCGGTTCTCACAGGGGGTCTGGGCCCCCCGCTCCTGCAGCGCTACAAGCGCGATCTCCTGTCGACGGCGGGCGTCAAGTACGGCCTGATATTCGAGGGCGTCAACGACATCGGCAGCGGGGCGACGAACTCGAACACGCAGTCGCAGATCGGCAGGAACCTGCAGTCGGCCTTCAAGACCATCTCGACGGAGGCCAAGGCCGCGGGCATCACCATGTTCGGGGCGACCATCACGCCCTTCGGCGGCAACGGGCAGGCGTACAGCAACCCGACGCGCGACTCGGCGAGGCAGACGGTCAACAAGTGGATCCTGGCCGGCGGCGAGGGCAGCTTCGCGGCTACTATTGACTTTGCTAAGATCCTGGCCAATCCCTCCAACCCGTCTATCCTGGCTGCGCAGTACGACGGTGGCGATCATCTGCACCCGAACCCGGCGGGCTACCAGGCTATTGCGGACCAATTCCCTCTCTCCATCTTTGCATAGTGGATGGATGAATCAAGAGAAAGAGGGGAGAAAAGCGGCGGCAAAGGCTGCCTAATTCTACCTGAGCTGCTTAGTTAAAAAGTAAAATAATTAATAAACATAATGACACACAGCATATACTACCAACTGCCGCGTAAATGAAATGGAATGCTAAATAAGAGAGAAATAATCAAGGTTGGGCTAAAAAGGAGGTTGAATCAACAAGTTGGTTGGTTGGTTGGTTGGTATATATAAATAAGTAAGAGTAGGTGGTAGCTTGCCAAAAAGAAATCACATATACTCCGCCCCAGGCGGGGGTCGAACCCGCAGCCTTCGGATATGCTTTCCAGTGCAGACCGATAAAAGTCCGACGCTCTAACCAATTGAGCTACCAGGGCTATGATCAAGGTTCCATATATCTTGACCCAACACTATGGCAGAGGCGCAGTTTCTAAACTACCCTCTCGAAAAGGGGGAAAGACGTCACTCTGCCCCTGAATGTCCATCTACTTAATTAAGTACTCATCAAGGAGTGCGCATTTGTTTGGCAATCGTTTATTTGGGCTTTTCATTCGGATTTAAAAACTGGTATGCTGTTAATCATAATTATCGCGAGCTCTACAAACAAGTCCCCCGATCCATACATCTATATACCCTGGGTAAGCTTAGAGTTATTGTTGCATAACTTGCGACACTCCCTAGTATATGATCGCACATAAGTGAATCATGACGTGTAGCTATCACTTGTGCTAAGACTCTTAAGCCGGTCAATATTGAACGCAAGTATTACTACCTACTACCTCATATGAACCAACCATGCGTCAACAGTGAGAAGGGAAATGTGTTTAATTAATCGCGCTATTGCACATAGTACATATGAAGTATCAATCAGACACCCAACAACGTGTTCAGCAAGTAGACATTAAGACCAATACTAGGCATGGTGCTCAACACACTATGCGAGACCATCACACCCTTCCGGCGCAGAAGATCACAACAGAATGGTGAAAACCAAGGCGACCAGACTCATAGCGCCCATAAGGAATCGAGAGTCGACCATCGGGACGCCCATTGACGTGGTAACACTTGAATACGGCACCGTAGAGGACGACGTGTGAGTTGCTGCAATACCATCAGTGCTGTGGTGGGTTCCCGAGGCCCCTACGCTGGCCGTCTCTCTGGTCGAGGTGAACGAGAGAAGGAAGGTGCTGGAGGGATTGCTTGACGAGCTGCCGGTGGCGCCATCGACATCGCCGGTAGCTGTAGTGATGGATGTCAGCTGGAAATTAACTAAGACATGGTAGTAGCATTGAAAGAGTAGGCTCACTGATGGTTGAGTCGCACGATGTCGTAGTGCTGCCTGTAGCGAGACTGCTGATCCATGAAACAGGAGTGATGCTACTGCCGGCGATTGAGGCACTTCCAGTAGGCGAGATATCCGCAGTCTCGGTGGAAAGCTGGGACAACGGAGGGATCGAAATGAAGATGGTGTTCTTGGTGGTAACAGTGACGCTAGTAGTACCGTCGATGGTCGTCGTTTTACCAGAGCCGCAGGCCGGAACCGTCAGAGTCAGCGTGTGGGTGACTGTGTACGGCTTCGTCACGGTGACCGAGTCCGTGATCGTAGAACCTGGGTTATAAGGCTGCAGGTCCGTGCTCGCCGGTGAATAAGTCGAGGCGCCCACGATCGTGTCGGTCGAGTCCCCGTACCCATAACCTTGCGGCGTAGTCGCGAGGACTGGGGAGGCAACGAGGCCGACAAGGGCCAGGATCTTGCTGGAAACCATGCTGGGAACGAGTGACTAGTGGGAAAACGAGTGGAAGTGTAGCGAACGAAGAGAAAGTTGGTTTCTGCGAACGATGGAAAGGGAGAGGATTCGACCCTCCGTCGCGCTGCGGCCTGATTATGTAGAATGCCGGAGTGGCAAAGCTGCGACGAGGGTGCGTTGCACATAATAGAATGAGTTTGCAACAACTCATGACCATTCAAAAGTATCGCCGAAATAAAGTAGGCGAGATGTCGATTTGCCTCTGGCCTGATCTTTCTGATGTCGTACTCGTAACGGCTTTACCGATCTTTTATTTGCTGCTCCGCGGCCTGTATGACCTTCAGGTCGCAGACCGCAGCGGCTTACTCCAAACAGGGTCAAGCTATCGTTGCACAGAGTATACAAAGAGCAGTGTATCCGAAATTACCAGGTGCTATCTCGGTCTGTAATGAAACACGAGAGGGACAGGGAGATCCCTATCTGCTCTTGCTGGATGATGCAGCCATCACCTGTTTCGAGGTAGGTCTTCGGCTGTTTTTTAATGGGGAATTCTTTCACATGCTGCTCAACCCTCAGTAGCCGTGCGAGTTTAAAATATCTACTACCTGGTACAATCATCAGTAAAATTAGGGTGTAGTTGTTGCCCGTCAGGACTAGTAGGACGAAGCGGAACAAGCGGCTGTGGACGAGCCCCTTTGCGCAATTGAGATTTAGAAATTAATTGACATCGAGTGTAGCTGTATTTGAGACTATATATCACACAAAGACTGATTAGCAACTGTTTCTCTGACCACAGTGTTGCATGGCTATTCTATTTTGATGGGGCTGGTCCTCCATTGTTTCCATGACGAGCCAGTTGCCTCTGCAATCGCAATGCTTTGGAGGGTTAGTATCCGTATCTATGCCTTTCTCAACGAGAATTATTTTTCAAAATCTCCCATTCTGTAATTTAGATTGTGCTCGCGAAATGTCATCAGTTGTTCCAAAGTATGAAATACTCCCCTGACAGCTTTGAGAGGGTGGCTAGTATTGTGCTGCCGAGATTATGTGACCAAGTCAGGTAATAACGAGATGTAATTTACTCAACCGAGTACCCATTAGCCAGCCTTGTTCAGGTGCAACAGAGACATTTGAGATACCTCTACCTATTTCATATTAGTTCAGGTGCGTGTCAAAAACTCTCCAAGCCCACATCACTCACTGCAATGGTGTCTCTCCCGTCTCACTCTTGAGCCGTCACATATTTACAGGAGACACTCCATCACGTTCAGATTTACGCTTAACGTTTCTCATTGGTCTTTAGAGAGCTAGGGTGAGCACAACAGTCCCTCTCTTTTTGTCATAACCGTCGCTATGTGTCACATAATAAATCTCCAGCAGCGTACGGGCCAAATCTTCTCCAGATGAACCGGATTGTCAATAGGCCTCGGGTCTCGTTCTGCTTATTCCCTGCATGAACACTCTCGTAGTCGCTTGGGATGATATCGTATAAAATGATTAGCCTAAGAAAGCTCTGGTTCTTTACGCCACTTCCTCAGCACAGACAGCGACGACAACGTGTCCGGATGTTCTGGCCCTTTCGAATATCCGTAAATCTTAACGCAATCCTCCATAAGTTGTAAAGCATCAGCGTTACGGTTCTGAGATTTCCACGTAAACGCCAAGTTATGCATGCTGCTCAGCGTATCAGGATGCTCAGGTCCTAGTATTGCCTGCCTTGTTTTAAATGCCTGTAGATCTAGCAATTCGGCCTCTGTCCACCGGCTTAAGTTCCAGTATGTCTGGGCTAGGTTGTGCATAGTGATTAGCGTATCGGGATGCTCAGGTCCTAGCACCGCCTTCTTTGTCTCTAATATTTCTTCTTCTAGGGATTTGGCCTCTTCCCACCGGCTCTGAGCCGAGTATATTGCGGCCAGGTTGGCTATACTGGTTAGAGTATCAGGGTGCTCGGGTCCTAGCACCGCCTTCATTAATTCAACCCCCTCCAATTGTAGCGATTCGGCCTTGTCCCATAGGCTTTGCTCTCTGTATGTTGCGGCCAGGTTGATCATACTGGTTAGTGTATCGGGATGCTCGGGTCCCAGCACCGCCTTCCTCGTCTCTAATACTTGTACTTCAAGTGATTCGGCCTCTCCCCACCGACCTTGATTCCAGTATGTTGTGGCCAGGTTGGCTAGACTTTCTAGCGTATCACGATGCTCAGGTCCTAGCACCGCCGTCCTTAATTTTACTACCTCCAGTTCCAGCGATTCGGCCTCTTCCCACCGACCCTGATTCCAGTATGTTATGGCCAGGCTGGCTATACTGGTCAGCGTATCGAGATGCTCGGGCCCAAGTGTCGTCTTGTACGCTTCTATCCCCTGTGTATATAGCTTTTCCGACTCCTCCCATAACCCTTCATCGCGATATACTCTGCCAATCGTCGTTCCTATGAAACCAGTGTTCGTCTTTACGTTCCTGGAGCCATCGCCATGATCCTCGTCTATTTCCGGAATGTGTACAATCAAGTGTCGTCGGAACTCGGGCCGGCCAGACTCTTCCGTCATTTGATAGCACGCCGCAGTGATGAACACTATGTAGGGCCACTCCCATGGCCGAGTTTGGGTGCTCTGCCTTGCTCGCCACTGTACCAGGCTGTGCATTGTCACACCAGCCCATCGTCCCTCTACTCGTTGTAATAGGGCGTGGCGGACTAACACTTCGTAGCACTGTCGATACCGAAAACTATCCCATCTGTTATTGTCCAATGAGATATATCGCCGGAGATCCGCTACTGCTTCTCTGCTCGCTTCGCCGTCCAGCTCAGCGTCTACCACTTCCATGCCAAGACTTGCCAGCCGGAATATTTCGTCCTGCACAATAGTGCCCTTGAAATGCGCAAGAAATGCCAGCAGAACATCGAGCTGTAGATCTGGGTGCTCCTTTGTGATCCTCTCCAATGTCGTGTCCCATACCGTCCACACCGTCTTCTCTGTTGGCAGCAGGCCCCGAAACTTATCCATCTTCAGCAGCTCGTCGCGATGCCTGTCGTAGTCCGCTAGATACTGCAACAGTGCCTGTTCCGGCGCGGGGTCATTGCCGATGTAGGCGCCTGCAAGTTCAATGGCGAGTGCCAGGTGCCCAAGCTTCTGCGCTACGTCGTCACATGTGACCCGGGTGGCCTCCGAGGCCGACGCCGCATCAAGCTGCATGTGGCGTAGAAGAAGCGCCGTCCCTTCCTCCGGCGACATGACCCCAACCCGAACCCTTTCACAAGCCCGAGGTACTAACAGGACGCTTTTCTCGTCTCGGCTGGTGATGATGACGCTTCCTCTCTTCCCTTTCGGCATGATCTTCTGCAACCCCCACGTCAAATCATCGGCGTTGTCGACAATCACCAGCCATTGGTCGTCGGCATCCGTCCTGTCGCGGAGCCATCGTAGCACCTCCTGGACCCTAGAGTCGGTAAAAACTGACCCCTGCTTGTCAACTTGTTCGTCAGGGAGCCCCAGCTCTGTGGCGCACCTTCTGAAGCTAGACACCACCGCCTGTTCATCTGTGGCATCGATCCATAGAATCGGGTTGTACTTGTCTTTGTGCTTTTCAGCGTAGTCTAGCGCCAGCTGAGATTTGCCAGCACCACCTAGCCC